CCAACTTTTATTAAAATAAAACCATTTAAACTGGGTGTTCGGATTTATATGTCACTTAGTATATGGTAGATAGATCCGCTATGATTTAAAATGTGTATAGTATCGTATGTTTTTTGAATATTGTAGCGCATTCGTTCAACTCACAAATACGAAATGTTTGAATTTGTTTAGAAGAAAAAAATGTAACCTTCGTTTTTTGAATAAAAATAACATTTATCCTTCGGACTGCTTTGTGATTCACATCGGCAAAATAAACACGTGTATTTTGCTATTAAATGCTCTTCAAACGAACCCTGTATATTGCTCAATAAGCTAGTAGTGATGTCCGGAAAACAGGTGTTTTAGGCTAAACAATTAGAAATTCTCAAAAAACTACTTGACAAATGTAATCCAATTTTGTTATTGTTATTTAGAAGTATGAATCCTACGGATTTGAATAATATTTGCGGCAAGTTATCGTCGCATTACGGGTGGTCTCATTTTGTAGGTCTCATAAATATCTAAAAATCTATTTGAAAAGTTTTTTCGTTTCTATCAACACATTCGATTGCATCTCAATAAAGACGTTTTCTCATTCTTTGCTGTCAAATAAAAAGTTTTCCCATAAAAATTGATATACCCATTTTATGCGTCCCTATATCAAATACGTCCTTGAACAACTTGCAATAATAAAATCATACTATACAAGTATTTCGGGGAAATTTGCTAATATGATTAGACTTACATAGCTCTCCCCAGTCGTTCGCATTTGTCCGTTCTCAATTTTTTTCAGAAACTTCAGAGGTATCGAGGATTATTGTTGAGGTTCTGTAGCTCAGTAGGCCGTCGACAGATGGCGCTACTAGTTCTCGCTTGCGTTCGCGACAGCACGACTGTTTTAACTGCCACCAAGAGATGACGCTCATGGCGTCACCGTGTGATGAAAAGGTTATGTTAGTTTCTATAACTAGGATTGAAACTTGATCCAAGAAAAATAGCTCTTACATTTAAGAAATGGACCTCCGTTCAAACAACTATGTCCTAGAATTATGTCGAAGTCATGATCCTCAATTTTATATAGCTACTTCTGAGAGAACTTGTGTGTATGTCACAACACATATGGCCCTATGTTTTCGGCACGGGTATTACGTGTCTTGAAAAGTCACATTATCCCGATTTTTTTTTTGTCATTATATAGGTTTTTCTACAAGATGTTAACTTGGAAATAGCTGATGGATACCTTGTGAACTCGTTTCGTACGTGTTGCCTAAGCATCATGTGGCTTCAGTTATCAATGTTTCGCTCTGATGTGATGTAAAATCTGCTTCAAAGATGGCATAACTGGAGGTCCAAGATGAGGCATAGTGAGGATTTGTGTGCTGATATTGTCTGTTGATAATAATTCCATTGGTTTGCTCATTGTCTCCATGTGAAACAGACGTAGGAGGTTAAAAAGAACTATTTTCCCCCAAAATACAGGACTACTTTTTAATTGTTCGGGTGTATTGATATATAGTGGTATCACCTAACTATGATTTCCGTCTTTAACAACAAACCCAATGTGCGTCCGCCCTTTTGGTTTTACAATTGCAACAAGTGCTCTTATCCACGCTTACGTTTTGGAACACCATTTGGCTGCAACCTTAGCGACGGCCCCTGATGATGGCACCATGACGTGCCGAAAGCTCGAGATTACTGTTAAAAGAGTTTACTAAAGCCTAAAGTTTGCCAATTTCCCAATTAATAATTAATTTCATTTCTTGCCCAACTGGTCGTTGGCAATATTAATGACTGCTGCTCGTATATATAACGACGAGTAAGTTGTTTGACAATTTAAATCTGTCCTGTTTTCTCTGCCAGCATCACAATTGTGTTTTCAGAATCCTGATGAGGGCTCCATAGAGAATGCCGAAAGCTTAATTTTATCGTCAAAAGAGTCAACTTTAGCTTAAAAGTTATGCCAATTTTCCCAATTAACAAGTAATTGTATATATATATATATATATATATATATATATATATATATATATATATATATATATATATATATATATAATTTTGTACACATTCAGACCAATACACATAATCATCCAGATGCGATCTTGCGATTCAACCAACTTTCTTCTCAAAGATAAAAACTACAGACCACTAGGCCTGTGACTCGGCTTCACAAGACATATGCAACCAACAATGCGTGTAGTTAAGTTGAACGATTCCTCCATAGATGGACGTTCACAACGATCCTAGTGCGCGAAGGTGGAATGACTGTTTGCGTCCTAAAAACTACCTAGTCTGCAAGTCTTATAGGTTTTTTTTGACGTTTCATAAGCTTTTTTACATAATATCCGTGCCGCTCAAACAGCCAGTTCATCGACTCGTGCAAAATAGCGAAAACTGGAACAAACATTGTAAAGAACAGTTTTTATGTAGATTTCCCTCAACTTATAAATATGTTTACATGATTCTTATTAGTTGTTATCATATGGGGGCTTGGGCGAAATCCATTCGCTTACCCATTGCTGAGCCAAAGCGATCCAGCATAAATGTGCGTTCCCCTTCAACATAGATTTCATACGACAATTTTGAGGGTAACCCTGAACAAGGTCACCTTCACATACCTCACTTTAACCCGAACTACCAGCTGCTAATACTAACACCATCTGCCTCTGAATAATTCCACCTAGTTATTGAGCTAGTAAATAAATTTATGCAAGGATAGAGACAAGGAAGGCATTAGAATCTGAATAATCTGTTACTCATTTAGCATTATATCCAAGCAATCCGAATTCCCGGAAAATTAAATTATATCAATTCAAATCTACAGTGAAACAGCATTAGTTAATGTGCGTACAATTTACCAGAAATTCTAATTACAACAATCAATTATTTAGTAATAATTATCATATTGCTGAGCCACTCTGATTACAATACATGGCAAATTTGATAATAATGTTAATAGTTAATATTAATCATTCCTGCCTGTTAGTACAGCGCAGTAAACAGGGTTTGCAATTTAATACATATCTAATGAGTATTTAATTTTAAGTCTAGGTTTTACACGCTTCTATTTGGTAAGATTATATCTACTACATTTAAAATTTTTCCCAATATCTGAAGTAATATTTCAATGCACCTATAATTTATACAATGGATATCTTGTGAATACCATCAGTTACCCATGCATAGATAATTTCACCCGACTATATATAATTCCAGAACAAGTAAAATAGAGGAGTACAATCTATACGGCGACAAATGGTATGAGCATGTACATGATAGCTTGGAAAGATTACCCTTTTATATACGTGCGAAAGGTTGGGAAATCTTGAAACTGGAGATACTACAGAGCAAAATATGTGAATTGACCTAAACATACCTATGTCCAAAAGTTGATAGTTGATGTCAAAGTTACAATTTTACTTTCTTTTTTTCTTTATTGCTTCAGAAGTATTTCAGATTTTGGCATAAAACTCGGTATAGGCAGGTTTAGAATGAGAATGAGTAAGAGAAACAGGAATCAGTTATTTTTTTCTGGCCAAACTTCTAGAGGGCGCCACTTATAGCAGTATCTCGGTAAATAACTTATCATAACTTTTTTGTGCCACCCTGTATACAACAACTGACCAGAAAATCTTATTTCCTCGTATTTCCACAATAGAAAAGCTTTACGTGTTAGAAGAGCCTAAAGCTAATGGTTTGCGAGATATGCATTATTTGTACCATGATGATAAAGCATTTGTATAAAATAATAATCAAGTTGCTTTGGATAATATCTGAGTAGCGTTGCTATCGTTTTTGACTTTAACCAATGACACACACAACACCTTGCCTAACACAATCTCGAGCTCGACGAACTAATCCTTGCTTCACTCTCCAAGGCATTTGGAAATTATTGTTCATTTCCTGGTTATGGTGAAAAATTCCTTGCCGTTAAAGCAAAGCCTAAATACTACCACGACAGACAGCATTAAAAAAACTGTGTTGCCAATGTTGAACTTGGAGAGCTTCTTTATGTAAAACAATAGATTTCTACATCAAACAGAAAAAATAAAATCTAGCCAGTAAGTGGGTTGACCGTAGTTATTGCCGTGACATGGCAAATTACCTTCTACTCACACTTACACCCATCAAACTCGACTTTCTTCATCTTGGTTCCTACTGTTAACGTGCTTATGCTAAACAATGTCCACAGTAATTTTACTTCCCACAGACCGGAAAGAATCTCTTCTTACATACGTAACCTTGAAGCGCGATTGTTGATAGAAAGTAGCAAAGTAAGCTTTACTTTTGGCCGTTTTTGTCTATTTTATCAAGGCAAGACTGTTCAGATATGAAATGTCCTAGCCTATATAATCTTGTAACCTACGTTTTTGACCTCGATACAAAACCAAAGTCTAAAATCAGCGAATTGATAAATGACTTCGTGCACGGAAAAATGCAAACAATTAAAAGCGTAATATCAAATTTTCTTTTTCGTTAGACAAATGGCTTACTGTCTAAACCCAGGCGTGTTTTTCTCTGCTCGAAGCTCGCCTCCCGCCAAAACACTGCTGGTGGCGGCTAAAAATTTAATTTAGCTGCATTGACTTTGTCGGAGGCAAAAGGGATCGGAAGTGACGCACTCAAATGGCTTTTGACAATGGTTGTCTTTCAAGCGAACATTGTTTTCCAAATAATGGGAATGGAGTTTTACGATGGTGGTTCTGGCATGAAAGCCCGTTTCCTCGACATAAAATCGCGATTGGCGAATGTAACAAGAGTACAGCGGCTTTTAGGGTTGCTTTTTTATTTATCTTGTCTTAAAAATGTCGCGCTAAGTGTTTTCCTCTTCAATTCAGAGACCTTTTATAAATTATATTGAAATTGTGGTGTAGCATTGGCATCTCTGATTTTATTCTCAGTTAGAGAAATGACAGACCTCTCCCCGCATTGTACGGTTTTAGGATATATCAGTCTAAAATATGTTTTGATGGAAAACGTGGGCGTAAGGCTATAATACATGGATGCGGATGTAGAGGACATCAATTTACCCCTGAATCAATTCCTCTTACCTCCAGTTGTAAGCACATGCCTTTATCACCCTCCAGAGAACTGTAGACACTACTCAATTCGGAAAACGCTATCAAACTCGAGCAGACCGCGCAGAGTGTTCTATACTCACTCGATCTCGACGAGTTGTTTACGTTCCCATTTTTTCCCCAGTAAAATTTTATTCTCCCCTAAAACAGTAGTAAATACGGCTTTCAGCCGCCGACGTCGTGCTAGTCTGGTGGCAATTGATATTATGCAAAGCGGGCCGCACTTTACGACCCAACAGCGCTCTAAAATGCCTCGAGAATGAACGGGGTTGGGAAAGAAAACACACGCCCAGGAGTAGTGTGCACTTAATATATTACGACATAGATATAAACAAATGTGTTTCGTAATATATATCTAATCTGGTCGTTAACATCCTTTTACCCAACAGATATACCTACCTTTCGCTACACAGCTAGCGGGCCTATTTGTAGATACATTCATAAAAACTTGCACATGTCTTTAAGCATCTATCTCATTCTTGGTTTGACCCACACTACTTTTCACTACTATCGTTTTTTGTTGTTCACACATTCATCATTCATGGTTCAGGGATAGTTAAAGACCTCTATTCCTTTAAACGATCCTCTTACCTATAAAACAAAAAGGTTTCAACTGTCTATATTGTGCTAAGCCTTCCGAACTTAACCCAATCGCGCCCTAAAATGCCTCGCAAATGAAGGGGGAGGAAGAAAATTCGTACCCAATAGTGGTATGTTATTAATATATTATGACACAGACAGTCTTTCTTACGAGAGTATAAGCATATAGATAATTCACCGCCACTCTCGAATCGCGAATGAACAAGGTTAGGAATGAAAGCTTACGCCCAGGATATGTCACACACAGATACACTGGAAAATATCATCGAACCAACGTAGAATAAATCTTTGCCTAAGTCAGTTTTCATTGGGCTCTCCGAAAAAGAGTAATATTAATTTATTTATGACCAACAGAAGAACCTGAATGTAAAGTCAGTCTCAAGGAGGAATAAGGTCTTCTCAATATATCATGACACATACAGGGTGGCGCATCGAAAACGAAACAGACGCATTTATTGGCAGCTCATTTTTTTTTTAAATGCTCAGCCCCGTCGATTTTGTTTTCGAGGGGGACACAAGTTTGGCAAAACATCACGTTAGCATGTGCAGCCCCCTAAGCGGGGGTGACACCACCCCCAAAATATTAAATGGAAAGGGGGGTCGAGTGATACCTTATTTTAAAGGTCTTTCAATTCACTTTATAATGGTATAAAATTATTGTACTTCAGTTCAGTAGTTTTGAAGATTTATTGATTTAAAGCTTAAATAAAACTAATACATCATCACTAGTGGGGATCAATACATTTGGCAGCAAAGTAATTTAAAAATGAAGAATGAACTGACACGTTAGACAAGTAAATGCTGAAAATGGCCACCATGACTCTCTATGCAATAATAAAGATTTTGCTCAAAACGTTGCCGCACATTTTGGAATATTTGAGGAGTAACTTGAAGGCACTCATTCACAATTCTTTGTCGCAGGTCTTCTAAAGATGTTGGCTGAGTAGCATAGATTTTGCTTTTTAGACGACCCCACATAAAGAAATCCGAAGAGACTTCAACCAAGAGCAAAGGTCCTACGGACCACTCTGACAGACAATGACGAATAGTAGTGATAAATCTGGCGATCTTGGGGGCACCTCTTCTACCAATCCATCGATCTGGAAACATCTGATCTAAATATTGTCGAACACGTAATGTGTAATGTGGTGGGGCACCATCCTGTTGGAACATCAACCTATTCGCGATGTGCCGCCGATCATTCTGATTTTCAATTATGACTGTTAAAGCAGGATCTGTGGCGTCTTCCAATAATTCCAAATACATTTCACCGGTAAAATTTTCAGGTAAGAAGAAGGACCAACTAAATGATCTCCAAAAATACCAGCCCGAACATTTAATTTTTGTGGCTGCTGTGTATGAACCTCGTCTCGTCTTCATTAAGTTCTTGTACCAGGTGAATTTTATACGGATGAAAACTTTGGGCCTTTAGAATCCGTTGGAGAGTACGTCGACTAACACCACACACAATTGTCTCCAATTTGCGGGTACTTAACGTAGGATCTACATAAACTTGCCCTAAGACCCCTGCTTCTATTGCTTCGTTCCTTATGGGATTTTCAATGTTGCGTTTTTTATTTATCGACTGACCCAGTTTCCAGAAATTTAGCTACAAGTTCTAGAACATATTTTCGATGCACTGATTATTTCCGAAAAATATTTCGATAATTTCAACTCTTTCTGCTGTGGAATATACCATGGTTAATTTATGTAATAAAGCGATACAAGTTATTTTAGCAACAAAGCTTGGTGAAATCAATCGCAAACTATGTACTGAATTCCTATTTAAAATAAGTACGAGATATTTCCTTATCTTCCTTCAAGAAATAACTTTTTGGCCACAAAAAAAACGCTCCAATCGCTATTTTCACCAACAAAATGATAAACAAACCATTGGCGTAGTGAAGAAAAGCATTTACTTATTAAGTAAATTCTTTTAGTCAGATTTCTTCTGAAAGTAGTACAAACTAATCTGATGTACCTATTGAAGTCTACTTTAAGGCTTTAAATCAATAAACCTTCAAAACTACTGAACTGAAGCTCATGTATTTTATATCATTATAAAGGGAATTGAAAGACCTTTAAAATAAGGTATCATTCGACCCCCCTTTCCTTTCCATTTAAGATTTTGGGGGTGGTGTCACCCCCGCTTGGGGGGCTGCACGTGCTAACGTGCTTTTTTGCCAAACTTGTGTCCCCCTCAAAAACAAAATCGACGTGTCTGAGCGACTTCAAAAAAAACTGAGCTGCCAGTAAATGCGTCTGTTTTGTTTTCGATGCGCCACCCTGTATAGTAACATTATGCATATCTTTTCACTCAGTAATTGTCACTTTCAGTCCTCTAATGTATCGTTGCGCTTATCTGTGTATAAATACTCCATATCCTCTGTTTGGGGTGGCTCTACTTTCTCCGCGCACAACAGAGTTATCTGCCAAAGTTTTCAAACCCAATTTTTCGCAATGTACACAAGAGGAAGAAGCATTATAATATATTCGAAAGTCGAAACACGCCAACCCTTTTTTAAAACTGCACAACTCCTCGCCGCAAAACTCCGCTGCTGCCATTATCACCGCTCTTGGGGTTTATGATAAATATCGGCTTTGTTTGGGAACTTCCAAAGCCTCGGAGGAGTGGCAACTTCCTAGACTCTTATCCAAGTAGTCGGGCGAAATGTGGAACGTGGAATGTAGAGACAGGATCAAGAGTATTTCATAATTCATAAATATGTGCATCTTTGTCAACGTACCAAAATAATCTTAGAGGGTTTTTTTTGAGATATAAGGTACCTGTACCAAATAAGGCCAAGATACCGTTTGGATAGCAGAAAGTTCATAAATATTTGCGATACGATCATGGAATTTTAAAGGTATTATTCCAAGTATATTTCCAGGTATATCTCCGAGAACTTTTCTTTTCATATAAAAAAATCGTCTCTATTCTTCTGGGAACCATGGCCTTACTACGCACACCTAACCTTAAATATACAATTTACAAAATTGAAAACATTCAAAACCGGGCAACAGCAAATAACTACCTGCATATGCCTTATAGACCCGTTTGAATAATAAGAGATTCCGCAAAAAGAAGCCGACAACATGCAAAAACTGAAAGCAGAAATTTTATAAGGCGCATGTTGAACACCGACGCTGTGCTGCTGCGCCATCTAGAGCCGCTCCACAGTTGCTGAATTTATGGCTGCTAACTGCTATCAGTGAAATTGTAGAACTGCAGAAATCTTCAATTTTGAATTTTAATAGTTTCTGTAAAACATGCATGGCCTTATTTGCTACAGGTACCTTATTTCACATTCTAGACTGCTCTTCTCGAATCAGCAATTTATAGTCAATTTACTTGTCTCTCGATGGTATTATGACATCACCACGATAATTGCTGGTTGCCTATTATTTGGACTTTTTATTAGCACCGAAATAATATTCAAGAGAATAACTCAGCTGGTAGAAACTCAGAGGGCTAGTTACGCCCATCTAAGAAGTGGATAGACTCACAGAAAATCACAGTAAAAACAGGCAAACAGACCAGTAGATCAACTGGTATGAGTCGAACTTTATGGGTTTTGATAGCTTTCATCATAAAAGGGCTATGACTGGAAGTTATGTGTAATAACTCAGGTCATATTCATTTTGTTCTAATGGTTGTTTTTAACTCGATAAAACTTATGATAACAATAGTTGAACAAAATAATGTTATTTGTAATAAATATATGACTGCTCACTTGAGATGTGCAAGGCGCTTGTACCTCCAGTTCGAGTATTCAAAATATTCTGTTTTTTTTTCTCAAAACATATGACTTATGAGATTACAGGTCGGACAAATGTTTCAAAGGAACTGCCGCAAAGTAGCACTGTGTAAGGAACTGGGGAAGTGGGCAACCCTTTTCGATAGATCAGTCTGCGCCCTCGATAAATAGAACTCGAGCTAAAATTTGAAGCATAGGTCTAGCGAACTCATTCAGCGTGCCTAGAACACAGAGACAATTGAGAACCTTCCTTTCATAAGATTTCAGGAATGTTTCTGAAAATAAATCATAAACAAGAACCTAAAGGGTTTGAATCTTCTCCTGGTTATTCACTGGTGACTCTGAAACTGACCGTGATATTTAAGGTCAAAACAACTAGTGCCCCATACTGTTTACTGTGGAAATAGAGCAAATGTTTTACATTAAGACATTATCCTTGCTGAAAATAGTTTGACCTGAAATGTCCTGATCAAGGTCAACTTAGAAAACACTCGTTTGAAAGTAATTCAGGCGCCCTTCTGAAAATAAAGTAAAAAAACAAGAACGTAGCGTCAACAGAGAATTATATTTTTGCGTCAAATCAAGTGTTTTGCATGATCCCGGAAAATAGTACAGCGTAATCTTTACTTTCAGCCATGATCTCGGCCGTGGACGTTCAAGATCAAAATAATGTTCACACAAGGTCAGGTTTGAGCATAAAATTTTCCGTTTCCGGGGTTAAACGTAGACAGTCCCACTTAACTCGGTCGATTTGATCTAGAATTTGACATAGGCAGGGTAAAA